AGATCAATAATAAGAGAATAAAAAAACACCTTAAATATATAGCCAAAGACCTAAACAAACACTTAAACAAATACAGAGAAATGGCAAGTAAAAAAGTAAAAGTACACTCCACATCCTAAAATCATTCAGGTAAAACAAAACAGTGACACACCTCCACACGCCTTTTTGAACAGCCAAAATCCAGAAAATTGACAATGCCGAATATTGCCAAAAATGTAGAGAAACTGGAACTCTCATTCATTCTTGATGGGAATGCAAAATGGTACAGCTACTTACGAAGACAATCTGGTGGTTTCTTATAAAATTAAAAATACGCTTACCATGGGGCTGGGGCTAGTGCTCACCTAGCACATGTGAGGCGCTGGGTTCAATCCTCAGCACCACAAAAAAATAAATAAATAAAGATATTGTCTCCATCTAAAAAATAAATATTAAAAAAAAAAACACTTAGCATATGATCCAGCAATTAAACTGTGTCCCTTGGCATTCATCCAAGGAGTCAAAACTGCACACAAAAAGCTACACATGTTTATGAGAGCATAATTCATACTTGTCAAAACTTGAAAGCATCCAAGATGCCCTTTAGTAATCGGGATGATAAATAAACTGTGGCACATCTATACTACATAATATTATTCAACAATAAAAGGAAAATCATAAAAGGACATGAAGGAAACTTAAATGCACATTACCGAGTGAAATAGGCCAATCTGAACAAGCTACATAATATATAAATTCCAAAATTATGACATTCCACAAAAGATAAAAAATATATAGATGATATAAAGACCAGTGGCTGCCAAAGGGATAAGAGAGAGTAAGGAATTAAAAAGTGAGAGCACAGAAAATTTTTATGGGAATAAAACTACTCTATATATTACTATGATGGTACATGTCATTGTACATTTGCCCAAAGCCATACAATGTACAACACCACATATGAACCTTAATATAGGCTATGGACTCTAGTTAAATGACGAAGATGTGTCAATGTACATTCATCCATTGTAAATTAAACATGGATCATTCTGGTGGAGGATGTTCATAGTGAAAGGGGCTGTCTGTGTTGTGAGGACAGTAGTTGTTAGAAATCTCTCTACCTTCCACTTAATTTTGCTTTAAAACTGAAACTGCTCTAAAAATTAAAGCCTGTTACTCTGGGGCATGGTGGTGCACACCTACCTATACCTCCAGCTATTCAGTAGGATGAGGCAGGAAGATCCCAAATTTGAAGACAACATGAGCAACTTAGCAAGACAATTTCTCAAAATAAAAAAGAGCTGGGGATTTAGATTTAGCTCAGTGGTAGAGAGCCCCTGGGTTAAATTCTCAGTACCACATAAACACACACATACATACATATGTGCATATGTACAAATATACATGCACATGTACATTTTTTTAAAGCCTATTTAAAAAATGTTCACCCATACTTAGAATGTTGCCTTATATGGAAACTAGGTCTTTGTCAATATAGTAAAGTTAAGATGAGGTTATTCTGGATTGAGATGGACCCTAAATCCAATGACTGATGTCCCTATATGGACAAAGATTAGAAATAGGTACACAGGGAAGGTAATGGTGGAGGCAGAGACTGGAGTGATACATCTATAAACAAAGAGGACTGCCAGCAACCACCAGAAGCTAGAAAGAGACAGGGACGAACTTTTTCCTTAGAGCCTTTAGAAAGAATATAGCTCTGGTGACACCTTGTTTCACACTCCCAGATACCAGAAATATGAAAGAATAAAAATTTCTATACTCATGGTTCTTGTTCATAGAGAGCCTAAGAAACCAATATAATCTACCCCATAAACTCATCTCTAAATCATCCAAAAAGCACAAATTCTCTAATAGGTACTTTCTAACGGCCTCTTACTAAGATGCCCCTCGACTCCCCATGGATATGTTCTCCCATGATGCAAAATAAACCCGGATTATTTAACTTACAGGTGTACTCCTGGTGGTTTCTGGTTAAAGGGCATTCACAGCAGTAGAATCTTCAAAGGTCTCAAATCACAAACTCTCCCTGTGCCCCAGAGAAGCCCCTCAATCCCCACACATTCAACACTTAATAAGCCTCAAGGCTTTCAACCACAAAA